TCCCCTCCTCCCTCCGCCCATTCCCCATCTGCCCCACCCCTTCCGGGGGGTTCTTCTTCCCCCCCGTGTCGTACATCTCACCACCAGGTGTTGTGGGGTGTGGGTATTCGCTCCTCCGACCAGCTCGATGCACTGCTGAAGAGACTGAACGATGCCGACATGACCTCCACAGACATCAGCGGGTTGGAGGTGGCCCAGGTGGGGCCCAGGGGGGGGAGGGGAAACGAACCACGTGAACGAGTGAATCTGATGACAAGGAAAGAGTGTACAATAAGCAGAACGTAGGGCGGGGGCGACCGAAAAAGGGGAGTGGAAAAAAGGAGGGAAGGGGAGAAAACGAGAAGGGGTGGAGGGTTCTTAGGGTTTGCGTTTGCATGTATGTATGTATGTATGCATGCATGCATGGAGTGTACGGAGCATTTATATCATCTGGGGGGGGACTTTCTTTCATAAATAACCCCCGCCCCCCCTCGCTCGCTCGCTCGCTTATCCCCTACAAGCCTCCGTCTATTCAAACTCCCTCAGGGCCCTCATCTGCGCATCGCAATACATTCACTTCCTAACCCCAGCTCACTCACCAACGACCACTCGCCACGTCCCCCTCCCCCTCCCCCCCAGGTCCACCTGCGCCATCTGGCCGGTGGTCGCGGCCGCTCGTACACGGGTCGTATCGAGGCCGAGAAGATCCTTCAGGTGGTGTTCCCGGAGCGTCCCGGGGCTCTGAGGCGCTTCCTGGACGTGGTGTCGCCCGTGTGGAACGTGACCCTGTTTCACTACCGCAGCTCGGGGAACAGGGAGTCCAGTGTGCTGCTGGGGGTGCAGGTGGGCCGGGGCGGGGGCGCGGGGGAGGGGGGAAGACGAACCACGAGTGAGGAAGGGGGGGAGGGAAGAACATGGGGGGGAGGAAAAGAGGGGGAGGCCTGGAGGCCCGTGAGAATCAGTAGGCCACTAGCCTTAGAAATGTGGAGTCGCGCGCTTCGGTGACTACTCTTACCCCAAGTGCCTCACCGTTAAACACTCACCGGCATTTGCTTTCCCCTTTTTTTGACTTGGCATCATGTGCGACGTCGTATGATTCCCCCCGGGCCCCCAATACACCCCAATACCCCCAATGACACTCCAGGTCCCAAGCTACGACGAGAAACGATTCCAGGCGGCCCTTTCGTCTCTCCGGGGGGCTGGGGAGGAGGGCTTTGCGTTCAAGGAGCTGCCGAGGGAGGTGCGGGAGATGTTTGACAAGTTCATCCAGTGACACGGCGTGTGTGTGTATGTATGTGCATGTAGGTATGTATGTGCATGTGTCGGGTTGGGGTGCAGCGATAGCCCCCCCCCCCCGCTAGGTTTGCGAACCCCCCTGGTGCTCTCCACCTTGTGTGTACGGCACTTAACCCCGCCCATAACCCAAGGCGCGGCTTTGTTTGCAAACCTGGGGTGGGGGAGTGAGAGGGGTTGGAGGGGCGTGAGAGTGAAGGTGGTGTGGGATTGGGGAGGGCGGGGCAACGCCACTATCGACTGTCTGGTTTGTTTTGCCTGGCGTGTGTGTGCGTGTGCGTGTGTGTGGGGTTTTAGTGGGGTTTAGTGTGTGGTTGTGGTTGCGTGTGTGTGTGTGACCGCGTGGAGTGAGGCGGGAACGCACAATGGAGCGCAGAAGCGGTGGTTGGTGGTTGGTGGTTTGTACGAGTAACACCATCTGATCGGTCATCTGACGCTGACCACGGGTCATCGGCCATAGGGGTTCAATCCCCCCGAAAAACACCGTAACGAAATAAGGGTGCGGGGGTGGTGTACGGTGGTGTACGGCAACGGGGTTTTTCATGAGCTAGTTGTCGACATCCTTGTGTGATATTCTCCAATTATGCTGGCGGTGGTGTTCAGGTACGACGACTCTCAAAAAGAGTGCCTTATTAATTGTGGCGTCTTCGGGGCCAGAGTTACTAAGTCCGCCCCTCTTGTGTGTATTCACGCGCGCTGTGTATTGTGTCTTATGTATGCGTGTCCGTGGCGGGACCTCTGTTAACCTTTTTTAGTTCTGTAGTACGTTCTTGTTACGTCTTTGTACTGTTCTTGTCTTTCTCTCTTCGGCAGGAGGTGCGTGTGAACGTTACAAGTATCTATCTGACCTGGCCTGACGACACTGGCCGCAGGGGAGGGACTGTTGCTCAGCCCCAACGGAAAGACCGCCTGACTAAGAGCTCTCTCTCCCGCGGACGAGATGTATGTGCTGTGTTTGTTTTTTGTGTTTGTTTTTTGTGTGTGTATGTGTGCTTTGACGGTCCTCACCTCATCTGATCATTATGACCAGGTGACGGTTTGGGGGGTGGATACTCGAATCGACAGCGAGGCCATCATCATGGGGTGCAGTACAGCCAGCTGCTACCAGATTTGGCGATACCTGAATGGCGGGTGGCTCCGTCAAGTATGATTAGTTTTAATATTCCTCCCTAGGGCTCCCCTCCACCGCCACACACACACACACGCAAACGATGGTATTAGCGTTTTACGGGTAGGACTGGTGAAATGCGGATGGGCATTGTAGCGATTAGGGAAGGTTCTGTGTTACATGGGGCCCGAAAGACGCGGTGCCTATGGGGAGATGTTCAGAACAGTATGGATAAAAGCATTCAATTTCTCAATACTCTGCTCTGAATTTTTTAATACACTTTCAAATTTGGTCGTAAAGAAACCACCACACCTTGCATGTCACTGTGATTGGGGATGATATTACATCGCCACCGCCGCCATTACTGCTGCCGCTACTTCTCCAGAACCAGCTACCAAGCATTACGGCGACATCAGCACATCAGCACCAGCGGAACACGTATGTCCTCGAACATTCCCTATACACATTTATACGTGTGGCTGTCCTACAGACCCTTCTACCGCCGGCAAACACCCCGACCTCTCCACCAAAATCTCAACTGCGGTACCGGCGCCGTACATGGACGACAAGCTTCGTACTACGACGACGGGTGAGTTAGGACGACGACGACAACGATGGAAAAGAAGGGGAAGCGGAGTCGCGCAGATTGGAGGTGGCCTGCAACCGCACGGGGAGGCTGGAGGCTGGGTTGAGTGATGTCAGGAACAGCCGTACCGTGTCCCTTACGTGTTGCAGAGCCGTAGCCAGTCGTCGTGTGGCGGCGGGGAAACGTCGGCTCACCCACCACCAGATGAACGTGCGGGAGGCGAGCAGTCCTTGGTTGACGGCTCGAAGCGGCCACAGGAGCAGCAGCAGTAGCAGCAACCGAGATGCGCTGCCATGTAAAGCATGTAGTACCGTACAACGGAGGAAGAGGAAGCGAGGAAAGATTCATGGAGGAGGGCTTGTCTGCGGACCTCTGACCTGATCTGACAAAAAAATCTCTCTGACAAAGATATTTCCATCCACATCGCATCCACATGTCGACATGTGGTCACGCTGCTAGGCCAGTACGACGTGAAGTGCGACATGTACACTTTTTAATTTGAGGGAGGAGACAAAAATAGACGTCGTGGCACCATCCACGTCCTTTCTTTTTCCTTAACTGATGTCAACTGTCAACTTACCGCCTTAGCGGTCCACCAGTCGTCTCTGCAACGGCTTCCCTGGACGCAACCACCGCAACCGCCATTCGATTAGCAGCAGCTTGCTGAAGCTCCTCCTCCGTTTCGAGACATCGGCCCCGGCACACAAGCTTTAACCTGCGCTGTTGGTTGTGTTGGTTGTGTTGGGATGGAAGACTAGAAAGAGTGCATGTATGCATGAGAGTGAACTGCCTTGATCATGCTGTGCCGATATCTAAACCATTAACAGAGAGGGTGAGGGGGAGAGAGAGAGAGGTGTGAGCGGGGCAAGGCAAAGGGGGGAGCAGTCATGCTGGGTTTCGTAGGACGGTGTGTGTCCCCCATGGCCCGCAAGCAAGTGCCAAGGGTTTCATTGAGTTACATGATTGCGCCGCCGTCCATGTGTCTTTGAAAGTGTGCGTGTGTGTTATATACTGCATCGCCATTGTGCGTGCAAACATGCCGTACGTGTCCTGCGTGTCGTACCTGGATGGATCCAGCTTAAACAGCTTACATATGGTGTCCCGGATGCGGCTCTCCTGGCTTTGTGTGCTCGTTTCCGCTGCTGTTGCTGCTGATGGGGTGTTGAGGGGATTGTGGCGGAGCTGAAGGGAAAAGGGAATTTGGTGACAGTCCGCGCGGGAGTCGATGGGTCCTTCAGAACATGAAAAAGGATGCCGTAGGGGTCTTGGGGGAAGAAAGACAAGCAACATTGGGAACGCAGCTAGCTGCACGGCACTAGAGAAATCAGTTTGAACAGCGAGCTGGTTTTGGAAAGCGGAAATGGGTCGGGCAATCTGGTCCACGTTGGAAAACCTCCTGGATAGTTAGCTTTGAAGCCATGGTTAGTTCGTTACGTCGGTTACCCCTAACGGCCAGGTACCGAAGCGACCAGTTACCGACTACCGGTTTGGTAGGGTTATTACCGGCTGCTGGTGACAAGCAAGGACATAATCCGAACGATCTCCATAACGACACTTGGCGACAAATGCAGAGGAGCAACTGCCTCCCAGCAGCCATCGACCAGCAGCTTGTCGCCCAGCTTGCAGCGGCATACGTAACAGCAGATTCTATAAAAATAAAACCCTAATAAATAACAACCGGTTCTATAAAGCCAACCTTTATATTTCTAGTTGATGTTGTTACAGGGTGGTTAAGCTTCACCAGTGGCCTCCTTCCCGAGGCAATTCCCCGCTCTCCCCTGCTAGAGGGGCACCCTAATCCGTTCACCCCATCCGACTTCAGAGTGTATTCGTTGGGTTCGGCAACTCACCACCAGCATCCAACCAAATCTAGCGGATCAACGGCGCGTCAACTTAGTTCCTGGTCAGCTCGCGAGTTGATTTTATCACGTCCTACACCGTCCACAAGATGGGGGGCCACCTCCCATTACATCACCTCTCAAACACCCCGAGAGGTCGGCAGGCGGATTTGAACCCGGACGGGAGCAGAAGCCAGGCCTTAACCTCTGCCAGCCGCCTGCCTGTTCTAGTTGCTTTTTCAGGATGCGAATTTCCGCGCGAACATGGTGAACAAGCTTCTCTAGAGTATTGTGGTGTAATCGCTGGTACACAGTACGCCACACATACATCGTCTACAAATACACGCTAAGCGCTCCAGCCGCATCTTGAGAGGCCTTTTCAGCTGGGCCAGCTACTACATTTCCATATGGCCGCTTCACTGAACCAGCAGGTGTAGACAAGGCAAGGCACTTCTTGTGCATGGTTCCGGGCACTTTCCGTTACATTCCGTTACGGTCAACCGAGTTTTGCCCCGGCAGGTAACCGACTGGTAGGACGGGTAGCCACCGAGGTTCTTCACCCAAAAATTTCGGTCGTGTCCGAAACCCTCTGAATAACCAACCTTTCGGGGCCCTCCCCGAAAAATTTCCTGTCAGCCGGAGAGTGTTTTCGGGTACCCCGAAACTGTCTGAAGCGGTTTTCGGGGTAATTTTAGCTGGATTCTATCGTAATATGCTAGGACGGCTGAATTAACAGGTGTTTGACTTTATTTTATGTGGCATATGGATATGCTTAGATGTATGAAAATGTCTGCGATACAGCCGCGAAACAGCCGCAATGCACATTTGTGCTTGTTGATGTTGTTACAGGGTGGTTAAGCTTGTTGTTTGACTGGTGACCAAGCGGGCCTTATACGGCAAGCCCAGTTTCCAGGCCCCGTCTGCGCCCGAAAACATGATAGGCTACTAGCCTATCTGTAGGGTGAACTATCGGCAGGGTAGGGTAAAGGCCGGTAGGTAACTCCTCGGTAAACCTACCAAGGCCCCATCCCACCGATCGGTTGGGCCGGATCGGCTACCGATCGGTTACGGCCGAATGTATGCCCTAGGGCCCTCCCTCCCTCCCTCCCTCCCTCCCTCCCTCCCTCCCTCCATACATCCCTTCCTCCCTCCCTCCAAGTTGGATCTTGTTTAGTGCGTACTAGCAATTCCTTCAAATGACTATACACACCTTACACACCTCAAATCGGACTCTGCCAACCTGCAAGGGCAGTACATCGTAGGCAGGGGCGGGAAGTCCTCCGTGCGGTCCGTGGTTCGATGGCAATGCCCCAGTTGCACAGCGTGGTGCCGCAAGTAAAGGTGCTGCGTTGGCTTCATCTCTAGGCCCACCATCTGGGGTGTCGGACACTGGACCGCAATGAAGCATGGGCTGGCGACATATTGGGCATGCCGGCCTTCGAACGCTCTGTTGTCGCCAGACAATTTCCGCTAGACACTGCGAGGCGCCAACGGCACAGCAGTTGGTACCGCTGCATGAATAAGGGTGTTGATGTGAAACTTGACGGGAATGTATGCCTGGGGCCGTATCTTGCACATCGCTTCGGCAAAGAAGACCGTTCATCCGAAACCAACAGCCATCTCAAAACGAAGCCATACGCACCTCTTCACAGTATTGGTGACCACAATGCAGGACCGCGTATCGCCACTTTGATGAGAGGCGCTCACGATAACATACCGGGCACCTCCAGCTGGCCATCGATCCTCTCACCCGAAACTGTGTTAGGGCCTACACATAACATTGCAGAATAGAAAGACCATCTCGAATAGGACAAATACCAGATGGGTAGGAGTTTCGCGCTTTAAACCAGAACCTTATTGCTTGTGAGTTGTTCATTCCTTGAAAAGGCAATCCATTTCCTAAATAAATTTCCTTCTTCAGGAGAATGCAAACGCTCTTCGTGTCCATGGCAGACGCATTACCGTGGATTTAACCTTCGCGTTCGGTTGTTGAACGGTCGTTATTCCGTTCCATCACTCTGTGCCACAATGGTCTTTTGACACGCTCCACGCTCCAGGAGAACCGATTCCAAAATCCACCTTATTAAAATCCACAAGGTCAGTCCCCAACTACGACGTGTCCCAAACTGCGACATGGTTTACCGGCGCGCAACCTCAATCGACAAGGCCGCGGAACGGCAGGACAGCAGCCAGGGCCCCGCCAGCCACATAATCGTGCCCATAGTTTCTGGGGTGGGCGCGATTATGTAGCTGGCGATTCCCTCCTCTTAGGGGATTTCCTCTTAGCTTCCTCCCCCTGCACCCAAACACAAATATGAACATATACATTCCCAAGCATCGCATGGCATCATTTACTCGCGCTGCGCTTTGCCATAGGAAAATACGTTCCCTCCTGTTTTACACCATTCCGCGCCCCACACCTGACACACACACACACACACACACATCCGTACAGGCCGGTAGCTAGGGTAGTGCCAACATGGTGGGAGCTGTGCTTGTTGCAGCAGTGCTGATGCTGTGGGAGCTATGCTTGTCAGAGCGCGGGAGGCAGGAAGCCGGGGCTCATAACCTGCTGAAGAGACGGTGTCTCTCTGGAACCTAGCAGACACGGCTAAAAATCATTGGCCGTTACACGTATTCGGGAGGTCCGCGACCTGCCACCGACAGCCCCTTGCTTGGGCGTAAACGTATGAGTCAGAGGTGCCGTTGCCGGCACACAGCAGGGGCTCGGCCGCCAAGTCCGCAGTCCAGGCCGGATGCTCAACGCTCAGGAGACACAATCGCAGCTTGCCAGCCTTCAGCCTGCTGGCTTTGCGGTCTGGTGCCGCAGCCCGAACACACACGGAAAACAGCGCCGTAGCGCCGTAGAGCACCGTACACACTGCCTATGGCGCCCCTTCAGGCATTGACCTGCCCATTCGGGCGCTCACGCGCCCTAGGCGCCCCCCCTCAAAGCCTAGCTCGACACACTTCCCAAAAGCCCGCAGCACTTTCCGATGCTGTCCGTGAAGTTTATCCCCGAAGCGCCAGCGGCCTCAGCAATCCGCTCCACAGCCGCCGCGGCACACTGCCATTGGCCGAAGTAATTGTACAAACGAACAGCTTGCATACTTCAGTCGGAATGCCCGTGGGTGTTCGAGTTATCATACGCCGGTAATCTAAGAATTCAATTATGAGATACGCGGCACCTTTTGAGATTAAATTTAGCTCGAGAGGCGTTGATGTGACTTTGGCTCATACGATTTTTGTTGGCTACAGGCGAGATACCTTGCAACAGAGAATGCTATATATTACCAATAACGCGTTTCAGCCGGGCGAGATATTATGTTTGGTCCGTTACACACGGCCACCCGGACATGGGCAATCCTACAGAGCGGGGCCCCCCTGGGCGCTTCGCGCTGGGGCCCCGCCCAAAAAACATCCAAGCCCCCTTCCTTTCCCTCAGTGCATCTCCATCCATTCCACATTACTCAACCATCTCCCAACGCTCCAATTTGGTGCTAGTGTTTTATATTCTCTGCACTCTACCCGATGGGTCTCGCTGACGAGCCGAAGGCACAACGGTAAAGTAGCGCCGGAGGCGCGGGACCCGTTTTGCTGATCAGCGCGCGCTGAACAACTAAAACATGATAACCTAACCAGATGAATGCGCGCAATAAATGACGGCCCTGAGGACACGGGCCGTCGATAAACAGTTAGACTATCAGCTACGCACTGGGCCTTACGTCCAACTAACCCAGCGTACTTAACGCAGTGAAGACAGGAGGAAGGCCTCGCCGAAATGCAACAGTGACCTCCAATACAATCGAATAAGCACACAGGGTCCGGGTCTACCTAGACATGGTGACCATTCGGCAAGCCCTGCTTTCTGTGAGGGGCGAGGACGCTAGTTCCATTTCGCCAATTGTTGCTGCCCTTTCAGATTTAGGCTTTGACGTAGATGCCGAGGTCAGCAGCGCTTTCCGCATGCTGAACGCGGAACAAGCAGCAGGCCTCACTCTTCGACAGCGTTTGGCTCTAAAGGCCGCCATCCAAGGTCCGTTGTATGCAATCGCGTACTTAAGCATTGTTGGGCTCGTATCCTGTAAACCGCCACTGCAGGCACGCACTTGTAAAATTTGCGCATGGGGCCGTTAGGAGTGCCATTGGACGCATAGGGCGTTAGGAGTGTCTCGTCAAGCCCTGCGAGAATTGTCCCTCAATTGTGCTGCGATGCTTAGGCATTGTGGTTGAGAGTAGACAGGACGCACGCCCTTTCCCGCTAGCACGCCGAGGTGCTGGTGGCGAGTTCCAAACCTAGGTTTTGCAGATAGCCTTTGCAAACTTGCGCGTGAAGCTACCTAAGGTGTTAAGAATGCTGCATAAAGATTGCTACTACATGCGAGCCGCGCTGCCTCTACCTGCACCCGCCACATATCGGGAATCCAGGATGCACGTGGTCTTCCTGATATACCGACCTGCATTAGCTTTTGGCCGTTAATATGCACCTATGAGCATGGTTGTGTTAGCGAAGATTCTGGTGGCTTTGGTAGCTGCATGCCCTTTCGACTTTGTGCATGCTAAACGGCCAAGTCCACGGCTTCTACTGTAACACCAGGCAAAGAGTACTCAGGAAGATGCCAGGGGAGCTGATCCCTTCTTACATTCCTCCCCCCCTCGAGTGAACGTTCTCGGGCGCCCCCGGGCATATCCCGTAGGATTTGGGTTGTTTGAGATCCTGTAGGATTGTGAATTAGTTTGTTATTGTGAGATTTCGTCAGTCCCCGTCCGAGATGGAGGACTTTGCTTTTACTCGGCTGGTATACTTCTCACCCACCCCTGCATCCACCTTTGGGGGTAAGAGTATGCTGCATCTTGCCTGGTGTGCGATATGTTCTCAACCAAATCCAATCCGGGGAGTACTCACCTCCTAGAAAATCGCACCAATGTAACACCAGGCAAAGAGTACTCAGGGAGATGCCAGGGGAGCTGATCCCTTCTTACATCTACCACAGTGGTTCTGGATGAGAATGCCACACGCTTCTTTGGTGCACTGCGTACCATGCATGGTCATGGTCTTCTGAACCGATAGTAAGCTGTGTGTTTCTTTACAATTTCGTGACAAATGACCTACCTGCATACTGCACCCTCGTTTTTCCTTGATCTACAGCTGCGGCAACTACTGTCCCGCCACCGGGTCCCAGCTCTGGTGAGTTCGCCTCATTTTTATGTTACTTCTTGGAGCTGAATCCTTTGTGTCCTCATTTTTTTTACTAGGTAGTGAAGTGCTAACAGCTTTGGCAATGTTGTGGCTCTGGCTTGCCTATCTACCTGCACTTAAGGATGACTTTGCACACCTATCTAGCTATGTATCCTGCCTAGGGCTGGGAAAAACACCGTAATCCCATAAAATGGACCGTAATTGCTAACGGTGTAATGCGCAACGCCGTAAATACTGAAATTTACGGTGGGTTCCGGGGCAAATTGGACCGTAACGATTTACGGTCCTCGTTGTCGGAGCCAAATCCTTACTTTCCTTTTTATATAACGATATATAAGCTTATTTCATACCTTTTTACATAGTTTTATCAGGGTTACTTGCACCTAAGCTTGTATTTAGCCGCGATATGGGTGACATCCAGCCAAAGGCGGGCTGACACGGAGGCTGACACTGTTACGCACGTTCGGCCCGTATATATTAGGAGCATCATTCTTGGTTGAGGATCTACCATATGGCATGATGACATACAACAGATGCAGTCCTCAATGCGCGCGCGGTGCTCCGGTTGAAATGTATTCGCCTCATTCAGCATTTTTTGGCTGTCTTTTGTGATAATTTAATCATAGGTTAATGTATAATAAGCTTTTTAAGACTATCCCGTAGCTCCAAGGGACGAAATGGCATGTTTCGAGGTGTGGTCGTCGGTATTGGCTCGCACGCTTGCCGTCGGACCGCAATTTGGACCTTTTGGTAACCGTAATTACATTACACCGTAAGGACCGTCATTTTACTGTGTTTTTGGGGGGTCACCGTAATTGCTTACGGTGTAATGCGCAATTTCGTAAGGACCGTAACCGTAATTCCCAGCCCTAATCCTGCCTCTTGTTTGCCCTTCTGGCTGTATGACCTCTTAAGGGGGGCTGGTTCCTTTATAATGATAACCTAGAGAAAACCCCGGGAATTAATTCCTACACATACTGGTGCAGCCTCTCTTTGGGTGGATCTGGATAGAAGAGGGTGGTAATGTGTTACCAGGGGGATAAACCCAGGCAGCTGTACCTGCATCAGGCGGCTGGATAATGTATTAAAACATCGGATTTAAAACAGTGGTAATTTTTTTTCGAAGTTCAATCCTATAGAGGGAAACTTGCTCTGCATGTCAATAGATATATTTCCCATGCTGAGTCTCATATCTGTGGTAATAAGTGCCACTTGTGTGTCGACTGTGAGCTTACCACCGACCAAAGAGAGATCAGTGAAACCCAAGTCGATGACTCCCAACCGAAAACAGAGTTCATTAGACAATTTTCCATTTTGCCCTACAGAGGAAATTGAGGCACCCTGGAGTGACCCAAAAGGGTTTGAGTCCTTTTGAAGCATGGCTTCAGGGGCCCCACAATTATCCCTAAGTTTTTTTGCAAAAACTCGAAAGATATTTTAGCATCAATCTACATGGTTTCGGGTGGAAGGCGGCTGGTAACCAGGTAAGGCCTGCTTGGTTGCCAGTCAAACAACAAGTATGTGCGTGAAAATCCCCTCGTTGGCGACTTGACCTGTGCAAAAGCAGAAGCTCAAACATCCTGAGGTGGTTCAGTATGTACACAACGATTGAGCTACCGTGAAGATTGCAGCAGAGTAGGCTGGTCATGGTGGGGGATCTACCTTGCTGCTATGGGCACAGCTGAGTGTGTCTGAATGGCGACTGCCTGCCTGACTGACCAATGTAAATACTCAAAGCGTGTTGGGGTTGTTTTTCGCTCACGGCTCACGGCATGGATAAAGCTGCCGTCTCACTGGGATCCGTTCTACTTTGCTCCCCCTGCATGCTTGCTGCCTGCGGCTGCCGGTGAGCATGTTCACGGTGCTGTAGGGTATGGATTGGCACGCGGTTGGTTGGGGTCGGGCAGAAGAGTGTTCCTCACACAGCATGACATCGGCTGAACACCAACCACTGTTACGGCAGCAGTGCAACACCAAAGCTCACGTTGAAATTGTTGTAGTGTGCATCCGTCTTTGTTTGCACTATTGAAGCACCTTGGGTCGGCATGCCCTGATGCTTGAATCACACACAACCCCCTCCACTGCGTATCAGCATTGTGTGGACACTTTACCACCAGCTGTTAAAAGTACAGCACCCCGCACCCCGCCGTGCAGCTGTGTGCCCCATTGTAACAGCCGTCTCTTACCTTAGCTGTTTGAGCGGAAGCGGAGGGTCTGGTCCACGATTGATGACCCAGCATTAGGCGCGAGAACAGATACGGGAAGTCGGAATTCGAAGACATACATCGAGAACGGTGACAGCAGAGTCTTGAACATCCGAACACTGGTATAGTGATACGATAAGTGTCTGGCCGAAGCACTTCACCTGGGTGGCTTAAATGCGGCCCACCTGCCGCCATCTCCATTCCTGGAGTCTTGGTGTCGTACGCTAGGTTGTGATAGCGCAACAGAAAGTGAGTTCGTACAGTTAACGAGTATGATTTGTAACTACGGGACCGTACCGTTACTGTGATTAAGCTTTAATAGCTTAAAGATATTCTAAGGTAAATGTAGCTTGCTACACCCATTGTGATAGTGGCCCACCCTGCACGTTGTCTGGCGACCATGTCTATGATGTGTGCACGCACTGCATTGTCGTTATGTTTGACGATTTAATGCTGCTCATGTTGTACAGCACTGGTGTTCCGGTGACCCATCCCGCTTGCCCTGCCGTGGGCCTGCCGCCTGCAGGTGCTGATTCTGGCACCAGCAATGCTGCAGCAGGTGAGCCGACTGTGCCTGACACGGGATGGGGGGGAAACAGGTTTTGTGGGCTTGGTGTGCCCGTTTCATTGCAGCACTGGGCTTGAGTGCATGGATGCTCGGTTGTGGGAGAGCACACACTTTCTCTACCCGCCATAAAGGGGCGGTTCAGTGTTCTGCATGACATACACCTCCTGCTGCCTGAGGGGTGTGACTTATGGCTTGATTCAGCTTGAAGTTGCTTCGTCACTCTGCTGCTCTGCACCCCTTCGTTCCTGCCTCCTTTCGTTGTGTTGTGATCCTGCATGCATTGCAACTGGGCGACAGTGGCTGGCTGTTTAATGTGTATGCACCTTGTGGGCATGATGGGCTATCCTTGTGCAGGCCTGCCAGCTTGCAAGCTGCAGCTCCGGCGAGACTCACAGAACCAGGACCTGTTCTTCTTTGAGCCCATGGACACCAACAGCACTGCAGCTGCTGTACGCGCTGGCGTGAGCAGCAGGTTCTTCCTGGACCCCGAGGGCAGGCAGATAGATGAGCTGCAGAAGTGGCTGGGCCTTGTCGAGGATGAGCACCGTAATGGCAGACCCATCCCACCGCTGATCATCAACGGTCTGATCAAGGTGGGATATAAGGGCCTGACCAAGGTTGGAGAGCTCCTTGTGCAGCTTGCGTCATCCACATGCAACATGGTTTGGAGTGAGAAGGTTAGGTGTGATAGATGCGATACATGCAGGTGCATGCATCTTTGTGCACTGTCGAGTGATACGCAGCTGAGCGACCAAGAGGAATGCGCATTTACCTAGCCATCTTGCACCCATCTTGTGCCTGTTGTGCAGAGTGGCAAGTCCTACATGCTCAAGGAGGTTCTGCCTGCTGTGGCCAACACCTACTACAGCAGCGGCCGGCAGCATGCCGGCACGGTGTTTTCAGAGCCCAACTTCCTGCATGTGAAGTGCTTGACCTTAGATCGCTGGAGCGGCAGCAGTGTCTTCCTTCAGGAATTCCTCATTAAACTCAAGCGGAGCGCTGCCGACCAGCAGCTCTCTGCTGCCGCCAGCACGCCTGCACCCAGCGACAACTCGGCTGGTGCTGTAGTGGACGCCATTCAGGACTTCATGTGGCGCCTGCCACGGGACCGCCTGAACTTCCTGCTGATTGACGAGGCGCAGAGCTTTTACCTGCTTGAGCGGAGCATGTGGGATGACTTTTCGGGGGATGGCTTTTCGCCGCGCGGCTCAACTCTGGACATGGACGAAGTGCAGCTCATGCGGCGGTAAATCAGCACAAGGTTTCCCTAACCGTGTCGTGTGATCACATGGGCGAGGATGAGGGGCAATGGCCAGTGAAACGTGCCCAGGCGGAGCTTCACACGAGGGGGCAGAAGGCACTAAGAGGAGATTGCTGCGAGAATCAATTGTATGACATAAGCATATTGCACAAGGGGCAGAGGTCTGCACTCATGCCTACAGCAGGCGTACGACACAAAGGAGCTGACACATGCACCATTTTCCTTCCCTCAACTGTCGTGTGTACTGCAGCATCTTCAAGAAACTCCTGCTGGACAGCCCCCACTGGGTCGCCTGGGCCATCACGGGCAGCGGCATGGCGACGCTATGGGCCAACATTGCTGCCACCCCGGTAAGCAATTGGTGTTGCAGGGGGGGGTAGGAGGCACTTCTGGGGGAACTACAGCTAGGCGAGGGCGTTCTGTAACTGCTTTTAGAATGCAAAAGGACCCAGGAATACATAAGTTATTGGTCTCCAAAGTTGGTTGTACTGCAGCATGTGGAGTGGTGGGTCCGGGGGTCCGGGAACAAAGGGGTCCCGAAACAATGTCACCAGTGGCTAAAACATGCCAATATGGACATCAATCGCTTCACCTTGATGAGATCTATCGATTGCACTAGTCTGCTGTGATGCTAGGGAGGATAGTTGATGGGGGGCCCTTAAGGCCTGGGGCCTTGTCTCCCAGCACCTCTTGGCGCCACACAACACGTGTGAACCAGAGTTGTTTACACGTCTCCTTTCGGTGTGACAATGTGTCATAGGCGCGCCGGACAGATTGGGTGCAAGGACTGAGTGGGCACTTGTTGCATGTACGGCAAGAGCCATGGTGGGCCACTGGGCCATGGACCTTCATTGTCGCTGTGAACATGTCGATATATCTTCCTAGGCAGTTGTAACAACTGGGTTCATGTAACGTGCGTGCTAAAGAAGGCGAGCAAGAAAATGGATGTGTGGATAGCAGACATGAAGCGGCATCCAGGCCCTCAGCAGTGGCGTGTCATGCTTCTGGGCCAACATTGCTGGCAGCACAGCTGACGCGGTGGTGCTGTGAACAGCAGCAGCCGTGTGTCGGTGTGAACTCAATCATGTCACTGAACTACTGGCAAATGTTGTTGTTGTTGTTACATGGTCGTGGGTGTGTTCCCCGTACCTGCAAACCACCCTAATACGAGCCGAGGGCTGCCAAATCGCCTATAAGCACCATCCTACCTCGCACTTCCAACGAGACAAGTGATGAAGTATACTAACGACCAAAGGGAACGATAGAGTTGCGGTGGGACCATATGCGTTCCAGCATCCTTGCCAGGCGTTCAGGCTCCCACTTCATAGCGTCCTTCATATGTTCGAAGCGTGGAAAGCCCATATCACATGTGGCAAATGTGTGAACGCAAACTGGCATCCCTGTCTCTTGTGGTTACTGGCCTGCATGCATGCCTGCTTGCAACACTTGTGAATGCTGCGGGCATGTCAGCTTTTGGTGTGGAGCTCTGCTTATGGGCTGCATATTCTGGCGTTGCACGTCAGGCATGTTCCTGGCTCCTGCGTTTGTCCAGGCGCTTAGACTTCGTTATGATGCTGCTTGCTGTTTTTGGAACTTCAGGGTTCCCCTTCAGGGTTCCCCATCGGGGTTGACGGCCACGCTTTGTCTACCGAAACTGGTTCTGCAACGCTGCCTTAGTTGTGATGGTCCTGCTGTGCGTATTGATTTTGTGTGCTCGTTTCTAAGCTGCGCTTGGGCCATATGTATGGCCTTCATCCGAGCGGGTTTTCCAACAGGGGACATGCTGGTGGTGGCTGTTCTCACACAGCTGCTGCTGTGATTGGCTGCACCGCAGTTTTTGTGACGGATATTGAAAAGTCTTAATGCGCAGATCATGCTGGTCTTTTCCTGGGTGAAAATGACTGTTTTGGGCATGTATGACAGTGGGTGGGTGGTCCTAGGGTCGCCGGGCAAAAAATGTAGCATGTGTTCCGGAAAAAAGTATGTACCCCCCCTTGGTTGCAGTCCCAGGACCCAGCGCCTTTGGGTGGACCCTCAGCTCACTTCCCGCCTGCTTCATTGTCACAACCCCAGCCATGACCCCCACTCAGCTTCTCATGCTCCCCCCCCAGCCTTTCCTACCCATGACTGTAGCTTCTGTAGAGCTGAACACCTCTGCTGTGCACGGCCGCAGACCAACGGTTTTGCCCTAATCTCGCACCACCACCGACTCAACCTGAGCGCCACGGTGTCCAAGGGTGTGCTGCAAGTCGCCTGGGAGCAGCTA